CCAAGACAAACTACAAGTATATTTATTATGAGCTGTTTTTCTAGTACTAAAATGTTAAAAACCATTACCACCATCCCCCAAAAGCTTATTATCTCAGGAAGACTACACAATCTGGCATACTTACAAAATTCTGATCAAAAGACCCAAAATAAATATCAAAACTGACAACTTGACATACACTAGAATTTTAATTTATCTTCAAAGATAATCTCCCTGCTCAATATAGCTGGCAACATCTTAACACATGAGAATATTTTTGTAACTTAAAATAATTCAATTATTTTAGAAAAGATGAGAACTTCATAATACAAAATATTTTCTCCTAAAAATCATGTAAAATCTTTACAAATGTGTTTCTTCAAATGAGCCAATCTCTGAAAATGGTAAAATATTTGTAAATGGGGCTATTCCAAACATTAGAACCATGCTTGCTTCAGCAGCACATATACCAAAACTGGAACTATACAGAGATTAGCATGGCCCCTGCACAAGGATGACTCACAAATTCGTGAAGGGTTCCATTAAAAAAAAAAATTAGAATGCACGTAATCCATATTTACCATTATCCAGAAAGATGAGGGAATACTAAGCATACTTCAAATGCCTAAGAAAAAGTCCCGTTTAAAGTCTTAAAGGAATTGCTATATTTATTATCACTACCCATTTTGTTGCATCACAATTTAAAATAATATATATATAATCACAAAGTATAACTATATTGTCCCAAAAGTCTTTAAAAATTGGTACAGAATGAGGGGTAAAACTGAAATTACATTAAAAAACAGCTTTAGTATCTCTAAGAACCTTGGGAAATGCCAAGGCTTGATTAATTCATAAATATTTTAAACTTTGTGATTATGAGGGCAGAAAATATTAACTTTGGGATTATTTTCGAATTATACAAGACCCATGTGACCACCCACCTCAAAATCCACGGTAACAAATCCTGTTAACAAGTCTCATTGCTACAAGGCTGCTACTGATGGATCACATTTCTCAGGTGTGTTTGTTTATAAGCTGAGAAATGTTAAGCCAAGTTCTAGAATCCCTACACTCAGCAATAAAATTAAAGATAAATCTCTTTAATTAAATGCATTTGTGAAGACCTCTTTACCATCTGCAGATGCCAGACTGATTCATATAGGTTCCAACAAGTATTTCGCCCTTCATACTTTTTTGAAAGTAGGTAGTCTTCTCAGAGGCAAGAAATTCACTGTGGTTTCACATATTCATAGAGAACATACTGTGAGTCACAGTACTAGCAGTGTTAAGGCCAAGACTGCAGGGACCACAAGTTGCTGGTTAGTTCAGTTATAACTAAGTATTTGAAAAGACTCACCACCCCCAGCACCATTATCTAGTTTCATAAGCCAACTATCTGAGAGGTCCAAACTTACTGTAACCCATACTCTGAAGGAGAATCAAAAGTTTCTTTTTAAATAAGAAAAATACACAAAACTGGGCACTTTCTCTGAATCTCTTATTCTCAACCTCTCAAAACAAAAGCATTGCTATCATTGTCTTCCTGGGTCTATCTAAACACTTAGGAAAGACCTACCTGAAAAATACAGTATATTCTTTTTCCCATAATGTCATTCAAGGACAGAGAAATTATTCTCCTTTACATCTCAGATTATATCTTGGTGGCAACCATGGTAGCTAGTAGCATCTATATCTAAAGGGCTAACTTCTCTCTGATCTAGCCATGTTTACCCAATGTGTTTCTGTGCTGAAGTTAGGCTTTATTTTTCTACTTTCAAAACATAATAGCTCAATAATGAATACAACTACATTCTGCTTTTAATGGCCATAAGCTTACAGGATTCTTAAATGCAAAATTCATAGAATTATAAAATAAATGAAGCTACACACATAGTCCTAAATAATATACAGGCTTAAAATCCCAAGTACAAAGACCATTAAAAACTGTTTATTTGCCAAATCCACTGAGAAAGTAGAAGCAACTTAACAGCTGTCTAAATAACCACAAAATATTAAAAACACTTCTGGTTCAATATAAATGACATCTGAAGTGAAATGCTGCCTCCTCCAACAGAATCTCATTTGTTTGCCTAGAACCTACATTTATACTTCATTTAAGCCAGCTGGTGTCTCTGTTTGCAGGCATGCATCAATGCAAACCCTTCCCCATTCACAAGCTGCAATTTCCATTTTTAATGGCAGCTTTCCAGCAAATACAATGAGTCCTTACAGTGGAATTTAACTCTTCATCCAACTCAATTCCTAAGGCAGACTAGAACAATGGTAACACAACAATGTGTACAAAAGTGACTGGAAACTCACAAAATAGGCTGACATTTACAGAAGGATCTTTTCAACCAGACAATTCATTCATTCACTACATAATTATGAAAAACATTGTGCTGGATTTGACTGACAGACTTTTATAATGTTGCATAATATTTTGGTTTTATTAAAACAATTTTGTTCTTGGGAATATCATAACGATCTTTTGGCTAAATAGAATATTCTAAGATGTTTCAAAAACCAAGTGAGAAAGGTAGAAACCTTTGACTCTGTTTTCAACTAACTTACCATAATAGACCTTCATTTACCCAATTATGGTCAATGCTTCCTCTACCCTCCTCTCCTCATTCAATTTTCCCCTTTCACATACACAGTACCATAAACTGCTGACACTAAACTTTTCTGTAAAGGACCAGACAAAATATTTGAGCTTTGGGAAAACACACACACACACCATCTGTATGAAAAGTGATAAAGCAAAAATTATATTCATGTAATAAATAGACACCAAACTAAGGAAATATGGCAATTTAAGTGGTATAGCTTTAGTCAAGGTACATAGATGGCAATGCCATAAAAAAGTCTATCTCTGCTGCAGCCACCCCCATTTTAAAAGTTTACCCTAATTAAAAAAAAAAAATCTGTCACAACTACTTAACTCTTCTGTGATAACCTGCAATAAACAATACTTAAAAAAAAAAGAACAGGTTGTGTTCCAATAAAACTTTATTTGCCAGCCCTTTCCTTTTTCCTGGTATGAGGTTGCAACAGTTTGGAAAACACTGATTTAAGTAATAGTCGTCAAGTCAAACTTTGGAATCACCTTCCTGGGATGAGTAAAATAAACTAGGGTTTAAAACAGATGTCCACTTTTCTGAAACTACTAGTAAAGCCACAACATGACTTCAGGTACACATCAGAAGACATTAAGTAGCCAAAGAACAATGATAATGATTAATTATATAAATGCTCTGAATTGTTTAAATTGTATTTGAATTCACAGAAATGAAAGGAAAACAAAGAGTTTCTGCAGATCCCAATCTCAATTTGGTAAGTCACTTTCCATTTCCAATCCTAGTTACTTAATTTCAGCTAAGGATATATGGATATTCACTTTTGTAAAGCTTAAGAATCGCCACTGTTAAAAAGAGAAATCTAAATATTAGGTGGTTGGAAAGTTATTTCCAAGTTTGGTGACCACAAAACTGGGAAGCTCTTTGATACCTGCACAACACTGCAGCTCCCATTATGACAACATTATTACAAAAACCACACAAGAGCATACCCCAAACCGGCCATGAAAACACACAAGGCCAAATTACATGTAAAATGTTATCCAAAATTAGAAAAAGCAAATTTTAGCAATTCAAAACTTTAGCGATTTTAGCTGCTTTTTGCAAGGCAACCTTTTATGTTAATATTCAAATTAGTCGTAATAGGTAAATAACTATTAGCAAACTCAATAAAATTCAATTACGGTGTCATTTTACAGTTCAGGGTATGATCAAACTTCAGGAGATGTCAAAAAACACCTTGAAGAACAGAAGAGCAATATTTTGGAAAATGTATTTGAATCATCAGGCTTACCCAATTTCAATCGTTTTACTATCCACTTAGTTGAAATTTGAGATAATGTGAAGCAAATGCATTAGCCAATGCTACAAATGTATCAATGAAACAGCAAATTTGCCAAGGATCACAATTCTTTCTGAGTAAGTTCCTTTTAAAGTGAGGACAAATGTTGTAACTCCTGGCGGTTTACCATATTATGTGCTCAAGACTATTTCAGCATTAAGATATATTTTAACTCCCAAACCTAACACTGCATTAATTCACCCTGTGGACTAAATTTATTGCTGGTTACCTAGAGCTATTTTTAAGTGGCCTAATTAGTTAAGTACAGGTTCCATGGTATCATTTCAATTTCCAATGATTTTACTAAAGAGAAAAACTCTAAAAATAATGTTCAGCATTAGGAGCCCATTCTTGTTTCTTTTTTAATGTAAAGCCTAACAATAAATCAATAAATGCCTTTACATAGAAGACAAATTCTATGACAGCTTTCCACTAAATTAAAGTGGAAATTCTCTGAAAATTCACTACAACTATAAGATAGTATATATACTCAAGTTAGATAAAATATTTAATAGAAAAAAAGGAAGCCCCATATTATTTAGAAAAGGATATTTAAACTAAGTCAATTCCAAATGGAAGTGACTAAACATGGTGGTATATTCTACCCACAGATTTTTTTTTTTTTTAAGCTCAAGGTAGGAAACATCTAATGAAGCTATTAAAAGGCTTTGTCTACAGGTCATATTATTACCAAAGGCTCACACACAAAGGAAGCGGATTTACACTATCAAGTCCACAAAAGCCCATCCTGGGACTGTGCCCAGGGCACACAAGGATTTTGAAAGTACATAAAAATGGCATGCACGTGCAGTACAAAGCAGCCCCGAGGGGCCTTGCCCCCTAGTCACTTTCAGGAAATGTTTCAGGATGAAAAGCAAAAATAGTCTGAAGTCCCTTGGAATCTCGGGTTCATTTCTTTATTATTCTCAGAGCCGAGGCTTCCTCCCAACGCACTTTACCGGGCAAAAATAAAGCCCTTCCTACGAAAAGCCACTAACTACTCAGTCCCCATTTTCGATACAATTTGCTTTTCGTGAAAAGTTCAAGTTGTTCAAGGTCTAGACTCGGTCTCTAGAGTGCAGTGCGCTCGCGTTCCAGGACTCGGGAAGAGCATTTTCTTTGTTGTTGACCCTGCTAGGAAAACAGGTCTTGACTCAGCCAAAGCGGCGTTCTTGCGGGTGATTAATGACAGGCCTAGATCTCGCCCCGATGACAGCCACCCCCACCCCCTCCGCGCTGAGGCCGGCCATGTCTGCGCTGGAGGAGGGCGGCCTCCGCGCCCGAAACCGCCCAGTCCCGGAGTGAAGAGCTGCGGCCAATCGATTCGGGGAGATCAGGCGTCGAGATTCGCGTGAAATGTGACCCTTCGACAGCCTAAGCCTATGAATAATATCGCCCTCCCCGATCATTTCCGCTGGGGCTCTCCGGGCTACGGAAACACTCCATTCCAGTCACTCGCCCCAAATCAAAGGACCTTCCTCCTCCCCACAATACCCGGCGGGGCGCAGCCCCGACTCACCCCCACGTCCCGGCGCCCCCTCCCCGCCCCTTCACATCGGGCCGTTTCCATTGTGTCT